CGCATAGAGAGCCTTTAGCACACAGTGAGAGTAAATTGAATTTGATGAGTTGTGAGCCTGAAGTGCTTTATTGGCATCTAAACACACTTGCCGGCTTATGACGAATGGACTGAGATAAATTCGATTTCTGGATGGCTGAGGTAGCCTGAAATGTGCAACTAGCACTGTTTATTTCTATGTGTAGCTTTAGTAATGTGTGTGAACCACAAATTATAAGATATTTAAGTTTTTGAAATTGGTGTCATTGTTTTGAACAATAAACCAGTTGAATGTTACAATCTATTTACATTGGGTTTAAAGTATCAGATCATTGGGAGTGTAGCCCATTACAGCTCTATAATAGTTGTACTCTAGCTGTCATAGTAAAGCATACACTTTCACATCAGTGTTGCTCTGAACTGAGTCATATTCCATTAACTAAATAATGTCCCAATAAAGGCTCCTCTAAAAATTAGCACTGTACTCTTGGTATATTTAAATATTCTTATAATCTGACTTTAAATTCTGATTAGATGAGCCATGTGCTAAATGATTAAGTCAAAGAGGTCTACATTACCTGGAGAAATCAGCATTCCCATTTATCTCAATGGCAGTTGCTTGGCTGGCACAGGACCGCTCAGAATTATGTGACCTGCATGCTGCTTTCTTTGCTCATTAGCAGTGCTGGGTAAAGTTACTTTTAAAAGCAATGCATTACAGCATTGCTTTACTCCCTAAAAAAGTAACCAATTGTGTTACTTTTTATGGAAAGCAATGTGTTACATTACTTTTGTGTCACTTTTTCTCATCTGGGCTTGCTTGCTTATTTTTAATATAAAAATGTTAAATTGTTGACAAATGTAAAATCCCTTTAAAATCCCAAAAATTAAATGAATGAGTCTCTGGCTGAAGGACATGTAAATTCACGCCTGAACAGTCGAGGGCACAGCTCAAACAAACCTTTCAATTGTGCTGCCATTCTGGATTGCATGAGGTAGGTAAACAAACAAACTAATTACAAATATTCCATTTATCTAAAATAATTTTTGCTTAGTATGGTTGAATTGGATCATCAAAGGTCAGCAGCACATACACTGGTTAATAAAATAGGATTAAATACAAAAATTATATTTGTGTTATTTAACATATGTAATTGTTGCAGGTTTGCATCATATTCTGAGTTTGCATTTCACTGTTTTAATTAATTTTGATGGAAACTGAATCTGTTTTTTGTGCAAGTGAGATATGAGTAAATGCATGTTCACATTTAGTCCAGAACTACTGAAACATCATGTTTACTCAGCGCACACACAACGCCTCTGGACTGGAGAGCTGTCAGTCAATAAATGGGAAAACAAAGTTATTGGAGTTATAAATTAAAAAGTAATGCATTAATGTCACAATCTGTGCTCGGAGGAATAAGAGAGAGAAATTGGAATACAAGCAATAGTCTTTAATCCAGGAACCACAGGGGAATATCCACAATGGAAACGGCAGGAACACACGAACACAACGAGTAGAAACGACAAACACTGAACGCAAAGGCAGAGACTTAAATACAAAGGATAATGGGGAAACACAGGTGACATCAATGGAACATAATCAAACTAAACGAGGACAGGAACTTGACAAAATAAGGACAAACAGGAACAGAAACCGGGGCAAAACATGTCACAGACAGTCCAGAATCCTGACATTACGGCCCCTCCCGGAAGACGTCCTCGCGCCGTAGAAACTACATGGGGAGGGGCGGGGGGGGACTTGGGAGGCGGCTCAGTAGGAGGATGGACACCCGGGAAGGGACAGGCAGACAGAGTCCATGGGGGTGATGAAGGAGGGAGGAGCCAGGGAAGAAACAGGAGGAGCCTGGAGCAGGAGGAGTCAAGTTGGACCCAGGCCACAGCCTTTACGGTGGCCCACGGTGGAGCCGACGTAGGGAGGAGCCATGGAGGAGGAATGGCCACCGACTCCTGGGGGCCGACCAATGGTGACGGAGCAGGTAGTGAAGGAAGTGAGGGATACTCCAGCCACGGCAACGATGGAGGATGGCAGACCCGCGGACCTCGCACCGTATAGATGGGGGGCTGAGGGCGAGCAGAGGGGCTGACAGACGACAGTGGAGGAGGAGGCAGGAGCAGGCGGGAGGGCATGTGAATCTGTGAGCCTCTGGGCTTACAGGGCTAAACTCAGGATCGGGAGGCCCCTCTGGGCAGGACAAGGGAACCGGAGCCCACTCTGGGCTGGAGATGGGAACAGGGGTGACAAAGGGCTCCAAGGAAGGAGGGAGTAGAGGGAGCAGGTCAGCCTCCCAGTCAATCAGGTCTTTTTCCGCCTCTCCTCTACCCAGGTCCATCATAAGCTCACCCTCAGCCACGGTGCAGGGGGCGGAGCTCCTCTCCGTGCTCACACCGCCCGCAACTTTCTCCCTCGTGATGGGCGTTGCAGCCGGCTCACGCACCTGGTCTGACGGGTTGGGCTCTACTTCCGGGGCGATCCTCCACTCAGTCGCTCAGCATTGCGCTGGTTCGTTGATCGCGGCGGGAATTGGCTCTCCGTCATTGGTGGGCTCGGGCTGATGCTCCGCACCGCGGAGAGATGGTGGACTGGGCACTGGGTCAGGAGTGGATCTGGCGAGATCATCCTCGGAAGAGATGGTGAATGGGGATCTGTGTCTCGCCAGTGTCCACTCCACATAGGCGGCGAAGTCCTCTCGAGGACCATCTTCGGACGACAGCGCTCTGCATGCAATGTTTAGACTGGCATTGTAGAACGCACAGAGAGCGTCGTCCGGGTAGCAGGTGGTGTTTGCTAAGAGCAGTGTGGTCGTGTGGTCCTCGAGAGATCGATCCCCCTGCTCTAGTCTTCTGTCACGATCTGCGCTCGGAGGAATGAGAGAGAAATGTGGAGTACAAGCAATAGTCTTTAATCCAGGAACCACAGCGGAATATCCGCAATGGAAATGGCAGGTACACACAACACAACGAGTAGACATAACAAACACTGAATGCAAAGGCAGAGACTTAAATACAAAGGATAATGGGGAAACACAGGTGACATCAATGGAACATCAAACTAAACGAGGACAGAAACATGACCAAATAAGGACAAACAGGAACAGAAAAAGGGGCAAAACACGACACAGACAGTCCAGAATCCTGACAATTACTTTACTAGTTTACTTGAAAAAAAGTAATCTGATTATGTAACTCACGTTACTTGTAATACATTACGCCCAACATTTCTCATAAGCACTCAGTTTTGCCTGAGCCATAAATGTCAAGTGACTAATCACCTCTGTACCTGGAGGAAAATGAAAATGCTGATTGTTTGATGACACCACAAGAACATCAAGCTCTTCACTAACGACGTCAAACACAGCAGACCGAGAAAAACGTCATGTTTCACTCGATGCCCTCCAGAATATAATGAAGTATTTGTGATGTATGTTGCTTGCAATTATGTATCTAGTCCAAAATCTTCATTAACTGCAGCTATTTGGGTCTGTCATTATTGGGGTTTGTGTTCCAAAGACAGGTTGCAGGTTATCAAGTCTAGACATTTTGTAGCCTGCAGACGGGAGAGAACCTCATGTTCCTTATTTTTCTCTCATCTGAGCAGTTGTTTTAAAGAGAAAATTATATAGAGAAATGAGGAGCACTTAATAGCATCAGTCGATGTCTGTTTTGTTAGACAAGACAATCATCTTCTTGTTGTTCACAATCTCTCCATCTTGAAGTAGCCCTGAAACAATATGGATTCCACTGCACCTGAAAGTTTTGCACACCACTGTCCTTTTTGTAGTTGTACTGCTGTACTCTGAAACTATGGGTCTAGGAAATAGAGAACTATTGATTTTTTTTTAAAGCAGATCCTCAGCATCTTAAACTGTACAAAGAAAAGCTTTCATTAATGGCCGATCTGTCAGACTCACTGCTGGATATGAAGTTTGTCATCCAGAGGTGTGGGCTGCACTGCTAATAGCCCTCTGGGTTCTCAGGGCTCAGGAATGATGGGAACAAAACTAGCAGAAACCATCTGCTGCGCCAGAGACACGAAGAGTTTGAGAATGCTTAGGTTCCTTTGAGTTTGTTCATAATCCTCATTATTCTGAATGATGATTCTCATTAGATTATCATTACTGTTATACTGTAATGAAACATCCTCTCTGGACCCAATGGTAGCATAAGCAATGTGTAAGATCAGCATTAAAGGCAGTAGAGCGCAATAGGGTAAGATGTGCCACCCCTGTAATCTAGCAAACTGTGCGCAATTTTTGTCACATCATGTTTAGAAAGCGTCTGTCATATTCAAAACAAGTAACCAGCAAAGGGAATTGCCAGTGTATAAAAACATAAATGGCTTGTCTGAAGTTTAGCCATGGATTATGATGAAGAACCATTTTTAAAATAGCTGCTGTGCAGCAACTTGTATCAAATATGTGATAATAAGCGTTGTTTTCAAATCTAGAAAATACTACGACTAGTCTATTACAAATATACAATTATTTTTGAGTACATTCGAATACTAAATCTATATACATTTTTCTGTGAAATACATGTGAAAATAATGTGCAAAAGAAGACGTAAGACTGTATATTATTAGTAGAATGCTCTGCCTAACTTTTTTTTATTTAAAATGTAATTCATTCACATATCCAGCTTACCTTTTGACATGACACATCTTCTAATGTTTACTATTTTCACAGTAAATAAAATTAGGTTGATTTTTTTTTTTGCCATATGGCTCCATTTTCTTCATTAAAAATAAATATATAAAATGTATATGAATTTGGGGTTAAAGTATGATGCAGTTGGCTCGTGTTCGACTAGCACTGACACAAAAACACGCTGCATACAGAAAGACCCAATTCGACATATCTCAAATCGGATAATCCGAGTAAACTGGTAGAAATCCATCGGATGGCGCTCTTGATGCCTTTAGTTTGCGCACTGGGAGCTGTCCACGGCTCTGAAACTACAGCGGAGCGGTTTAAGCTTTCAGACGCTTCCTCTGAAGCACCTGAACTGCATTTATGTTCAGAGACAACATTATTCTCAAAGAAGGTGAAAAATGATGGCTCACATCACAGAAAACGCCAGTCGTGCCGTTGAATTGATCCAGTGCCGTCGCTCGCTGCGCAGGGAGTTCTGACGCGTTCATTCCCCTCACGAGCGGCATTAATACTACATTTAAAATATACGGAGATGGACCTTCTCTGGATTACTTCTGACGCTGTTTGGAAACTATTATGAATGGGAGTTCATTGTCACCAATTGAATGACCTGCTGATTCCTTCGCTCGGCAATCTTCGGATGCTTTTCTTCGAGCAACTTCACCAAAGAGCTTTCAGTCAGAATTAAAGCTGATACTCTAAACTCGCATATTAATGAACACAACCGGGGGGAAATAACGCAAGCAAATGATGCATTTCACAGTTCGTATGTTGTTAAACAGTCGGCGTGAAAAATGATTTCTGTAAATAGCGAGTGCATAACTATGACGAGAAGATGCCTGCTGACGTTCAAACCGTTCAGGTAAGACTTGACATAATCTAAGACTGAATCTAATGTTCAGATATAGCCTAGTTCATCATTCAGACAAACCTGGCATCGGCACTGTAGCGTTTGACCAGTGTGACTGTGCCTGTGGTGAACCACTAGGTTAAGTCCTTAAGAAAATGCACCACGAAAACAGTAAGTTTCTGCCAAAACGCCACATTTACAGTATTTGTTCATGTAAAATCTCATTAAATTAATGTGAGATCTTCAAACAGAGCAACAACGTTAAGAATACCACTGTTATTTTTAGTTTCTTTTGATGGTGTAGTATAGTAGCAGGTAATATTGCTATTGTAAAGTGATAGCTAAATAATAAATACATTCAAATGATAAAAAAAGGCTACCATGGTAATGTTCGTAAGGAATATTTCGCCAATAAAAACAAACGTTAGCCTATTCAAAAGGCTATATCGAAGTTCTCAGGTTCTTTTCATTGAACAAAGCTGAAAATCTGAAAGCTGTCAAACTTAGTCCCTTCACATAAAAGTAGGCTATATCTATAAAGAAAGATATATAGCGGCTTACTGTAAATAAGAAGGTGCGACTTTATGGAGGTGGTACTATTCTCGGTTCTTGAGGGGATTTCATTGAAGGTGTCAGGAGACTTTCAGGAAAAGGACGTGAGGATGGTGTAAGAACTGAGTCTCGCTGATGAGCTTTCGCGCCGTTTCTCGCAGTGGCGGGAATCCAGCAGCGCGAGGATGTGGGTCATTCTGTTCTGCAGTACCGGAGCTCTGTAACTTGATTTTTTTTTAAAAAATGAATATGCTTGTGGTATAGTTTAAGCAAGCTTTTTCTATGAAAGCGTTTCAGATGTTACAGAAATATGCTTTGGTCAAACTCTAGACACTTATTTAGACACGATGCCTTACATGATGAAAATAATAGCCAAAGTTACCTAGTGCTCAGTGATAGATTAACAGTTTTAGCTTACATTTTATAATACTTATTGATGTTTGCTGTTACTTTGCCACCAAACATAATGTCACTTTCTGGAGAATGATGTAATCAAGGAATATAAATTCAATAGAGGAGACTGCATGGGGAGTTTTCCTGCTACACACTACATATCTCAAACTTTGATCTACTGTAATATTCCAATATTTCTATTGAACAAACTAAAGTAGAAACAACGAATCACTACTTGCACATAAACATTGTATTGTCAAGTACAAACAGTGCTGTTAACCTACTGCAATATCGAGGCGAGAGGTAGGCTAACACTAATAGAAGACATAGACATTGTACATTTAGTGTGAGTCTCTTCTGGTAATCAAATTTACTTTTTAATAATAATTATGCCATTCCCTAATTCCACTTATACCACCATTATTGAAATGAGGCATTTTAATTCAAAACAGTAAAGAAATAGGAAACATTTTATTTCAAAATAGCAAATACATGCAAATAATATGCAATTTTGTGTCCAGTTACAACCCTCCCTGTCTGGTCTGACATGACATGACGTTTCTGATTCCTTTATATATCATTTATAATAGAGAGAGAGAGAGAGAGAGAGAGAGGATCTGCAATAGTTCATAATAAATCGAGCCCAGATTTACAAAAATGGCAAACTATGTAAATCTCCTTTAAATCTCAAAGCTTTTGATTACCCATCCAAGGCTCTAACCTGCAGGCTACAGCATATACTGTATAGGTTACCCGTGACAAAGATGTGGTTTATCCTTTGTTTATGATGTTATGAACTCCATATAGCAATAAAAAGCACACTTCATTTTTAGTAGCCTTCTCAGAAGCATAAAGTCAACATGAGTGGCCTTGCACATTTTCATTACTGTTTGAGCAACATGAATAATGCTTTGAATTTCAACGACTTTTCTCAAATACCTGTAACGCAAATGCCAATTTGCCTTAGGATTAATGTTTTTTTTTTCTTGAGAAAAGAAAAGAAAAAAAAGTCTAGATTTATGAGAAGTCAACGATGTTTAAAGAAACAGTTCACCCAAAAATGACAATTCTGTCATTGTTATGAGATTATTCTTTCACCGCTTTCATCCAAAACATGTATACAGTTGTTTTCATGCAGTTCTTTTCCATGCAATGACAGTGTCCATGCCTGGGAAGCTCCAAAACGACAAAAACACCATTAAATACCATAGTAGTCCACATGACTCCATAAGTCTTCTGAAATCATGTAATAGCTTTGTCTGAGGAACAGACCAAAATTGAATGCATTATTACTCAAAATATGCGCTTCAATTCTGTTGCAAATCTTGTGAGCTACCATTTCAGCACTTCCGGTTCCATCATTCTGGAAGTCAGTGTTTTTTTTTTTTTTTAATTGGTCCGTGGTTAACACAAGCACAAAGTATATCAGTAAATCCACTTGACTTTAATTATTTTTTTACTTTTCTTGAAAAAGGCAGTTGCTTCCAACTGTCTAAATGGGACTACAGAGGTTGTCTGGGACATTAAACATCATCATGCCAAACTATTCCAACTCAAACTTTCTGTTTTTTTTTTACTTTTCACTTAAAAAAATAAATAAAATACTTTAAGACTAAAGGAGTTGGAAGCTTAAAGGAACAGTTTGCCCAAAAATTTGCTGAAAATGTATTCACCCTCAGGCCATCCAGTATGTAGATTAGTTTGTTTCTTCATGGGAAGTGAATGGGTGCCATCAGAATGAGAGTCCAAACAGCTGTTAAAAACATCACAATAATCCACAAGTAATCCACACAACTCCAGTCCATCACATAATTGAAAAGCTGTGTGTTTGTAGGAAGCAAATGCATCATTATGGCATTTTGACTTTAATTTGCATTTTTCCAATACAAGTCCATAATCCATAATTACGCTTCCTCCAGTTGAAAACCCCTGTTGTCGTCTCACATCAAAACCAACATAATAGTTTTGAATTGTTTTGGACTGTTTTGGTTAATCTGTGCATTTTTCTCTCCTGATGCAGATAAGATGACTTGGTAACACTTTACAATAAGATTCATTAGTTAACATTAGTTAACTACTTTAGTTAACATGAACTAAGAATGAACAATACTTCTACAGCATTTATTAATCTTAGCTAATGTTAATTTCAACATTTACTAATGCATTATTAAAATCAAAAGTTGTGCTTGTTAACATTAGTTAATGCACTGTGAATTAACATGAACTAATAATGAATGACTAGTTTCATTAACTAACATTAACAAAGATTAATAAATACTGTAATAAATGTATTGTTCATGTTAGTTAATACATTAACCAACATTAACTAATGGTACCTTATTGTAAAGTGTTACCGATGACTTTTTAACTGGAGAAAAAGCAATATTATGGATAGAGGACATGTATTTTAGTTGGAAGCAATCATTTAAATGTAAAAATGTCTTGATGGATTTATTACAAACACGCAGATTTTTTACTTCACAATAATCCAAAAACCAATGGAAAAATCAGGGTGATGCTAATTTCCGGGTTGGCATACAAAACTATGTCACCACCAGCACACTCTGTTAGTCTGAAGCAAAAACAACTTTGTTGGAGTGAAAAATGATTGAGTTCATTGAATTAATAACTGTTTGCTCACACGGACATGTTGTATGACAGAATATTTGGAATACAGAGCATTAGTCGCATGGGCCACTATTACTGGGTTACATAGAGCTTTGCAGACATGGTCAAAATGAACTAGAATAGAGCTGTGTGCACCTTTTTCTTCTTACAAAATAAATGAAAAAGTGAAAAGGTTTGCAACAACAAGGTGAGCAAACAATGACAAAGCTGTAATTTTCCTGGAAAAGTTTCACAAGGACAATATACTTCTAACATTATACTGCTTCTCATAGTGGTTTCTCGTCATTGTTTGGCTTTTTTCACAAGTTTTTCTTGTTCCACACTAATACATCTCTACATCCGTCTGTCTCTCTGTTGCAGGATATTTGTGGCGGGGATCGGTTTCTTCAGTCTGTGCTTCTTAATGACCTCTCTGGGGGGGCAGTTCTCAGCCAAGCGACTGGCCGATTCCCCTTTCAGCATCCGAACCGAAGGTACGTTAATAACTTGCAGCACTGTACGTCTACCTGAGCTGAATGTATGCATGTCTAATTCATCCGGTGGCATTTAGAGAGCGTCAGTTTATGGGATTTTTAATGGGGGTAATGAAGGGTTTTGCGCTGGCCTTTAACAGGCTTGATTATCCAGGGGTCAGTGTGCTGTGAATAGAATCTCTGTCTGCAGAAGACCCCATTTGTCATCAGCCATCACTTTTTATGCGTATGAAAATAGATCACGCCAGAGGCTAGAGATCTCGTTCACTGCAAATCCCAAGAAGAACCTGTCCATGAGAAAGATTCACCCAAAAATGAACATTCTGTCTTCATTTACGCACTGATCAAGGGTATTTGTGAAAGTTTACCAATGAAGGGTGTTTCAAATATAATGAATTTCCCAGCACAGATTCTGTGTAGCTTGGTTGGGATTGTCTTCACTGTAATGGATGTATGTGATACTGACTTTATTTAGAGAAAAAAAAAAAGTAGGTATCTCAGAAGGCAGCGTAATTACGCTGTCTACCTTTTGTGACAGCTTTCATGTTGGGAGCGCACCTATAGTGCTTTACAATTCTGCCTACATGGGCTCACCTCAGAGGTTTTGGAACAGAGCCAACATGTTTTTAATATTCAGTTCCTTTCTAGTTCCAACAGGAAATGGTGTACCCAAATGTGGCAAATAGCCATCTTAAGAGCTCCACTCGGTTGCTGGAAAATTGGAAAACTGCTTCATGGTGTGTTCAGCAAACCCAAGTAAAAAGCTGAAGATGATGGATTGGTGTTCTGTAATGTTGTGGGAGAGGTCGCGTGGAGGAAAGAGGAGGAGAGAGAGAAAAAGAGGGAGAGAGAGAGAGAGCACAATCTGATTAATTAACCACTCCCAGGCTGAAGCCTCGAGAAAGCAGCTGGCTCTCGCTCATTAAACACTGCCTGCTGATCAGCCAGAGATGGACGTCACTGTGCTTTGGGAGTCCAGCGCTGACAGAGATGTGAGGATTACTTTAAAATGAATTCTAGCTATAAATGACTAATTCTGTCAAACGAATTACCTCTGAATTACTTAAAAAGTAATTAAATTCAATTACCACAAGTATTGTAATCTGACTTTTAGTTACTTTTACATTGATATGAATTGATGCAAATTAATACACAGGAACAGCAAGACGACTTATAGCTCAGCTATCTATCTATCTATCTATCCATCCATCCATCCATCCATCCATGGAACATAAAAGGAAAAAGCAAAACATGGTTTGCACTGGGCCATTTTATGACAATTTCACTATTACAGTACCTCTTTTCTTGGAACCTGTGATCCTTTTTTTGTTTGTTTTTTAGGATTTTTTTGATTAATATAAAGTTTGAAAGAACATCATTTATTTAAAATAGAAATATTTTCTAAAAATTCAGTACTTGAATATCACTTTTTATCAATCTTTGCTGAATAAAAGTATTGATTTCTTTCAAAAAATGAAAAACTGACTGACCCCAAACGTTTGAATGGTACTTTATGTTGTTTCAAGAGACTATTTAGAATAAATGCTATTCTTTTTGTACGTGACAACATAACAGTGTTCTGTTACTCTCTAACACTGATCGCTGATCTAAGCTCTATTAGTATACATGTTATCTCAATAGGAGCTGTTCTCTTTCGGTTCCTGAGAGAAAATCTGCTGATTCACTAATCCTTTTCCACATACTCTGGCCGTATTCTATCTTGAGTAATACCATGCAGCATATGTTCTGGGATTATGCCTCTAATCGATACTAATGGCTATTCTAAGAGAGGTTTGTTATTATACATTTTTAATGAAAGCTTGTGTGTGGGTTGATGCAGGGAGCACTCTGTTTTAAATAGCAGACGTCTATTAGCACTACATACTGTATATGCATTAGAGCCAAAACTGGGTTTCTATATCTCATAGCATTCATCCCTTCACTGGACACATTCTCTGCCATTACTGTTCAAACTAAAAATATAACTCAACTGATTTAATCCATGTATAATATAGCCGACTGAAATATAGTTTGAAATTGCAGTTTTAGATGCTTCATTATTAGGGCTGAAAAAATATAAGGGTTCTTGTTCCAATTCCACTTCTTGAATGTTTCCAATAAAGGTTTAACAAACAAATAAATAAATACATTTAGTCATTACTGACTCATCCTCATATCCCTATTATTAGTCTTACCATAAAACACAAAAGGGGACAGCCAAGCTCAAAATTAAACAAACAGCATCAAGAAAAGCCAAACTTATGCATTATATCTTCAGATATCATACGGTAGCTTTGTGTCACTCAGATTTCATCAGTGCTGTGTTTTCAGACTTGTCACATCTTGACTGGCCACATTAAATGCAAGAACTAATGCTGTTTAGCCCAGAATTGAATAAGAACCGAAACAGAATAGAAGTTATTGGTGTTTTACTTCCCAACTAGAGTTCATTCAACTGATAACTGCAGCAAATTGTATGTATAGATTTTTTTTTGGGGGGGGGGGGGGGGGGGGGGGGGTGTTCCTGAAACCACGCCTTCTTTCTTTGCATGCACATTTGCGTGGCATTATGCAAATATTTCCACATAGTGATGTAGATATGTGGGGGTGTGTTATAACGAGCCGTTTTAGGTAGGTGTGGTTGACTCTTAACTTTTATAAAGAATATCTCTTTGGATTTGAGACTTTAGTCTTTGCAACTTTACAGATCTTCTTTATGCACCAAGAGCTTGTAACACTCCAAAGAGAAAGGAACAATTTAAATCGCATCATATGACCCCTTTAATGTATTTTTAAAGTACCATTTATTACAACAAAACTTGCTGAATTTATACTCTAATAAACATACAAATGCATAGCACACACAGCTTTTGGATAAAATAACATAAGCAGGATTTGATATGAATTTCTCTGAATTTCTATTCATATTTTCTATTCATACTGTATCTTCCTTACATTCATATTTAAGTAGCTTGTTCGCTATCTCAATTCTATTCTGAATGTTGTCTACCCTGTTAGTTGAGTATCCCGTGTGTTTCATGTGGTGTTTGGTTGCCAGTGGCATATAAATCTGTGGATTGCAGGGCTTTGACAAAGCATCCTCTAGGAAGGGCTTTAGATTTCAGTTGGAATCGTTCCTGTTCTCCATCGCACTCCGGCATATAGTAGATATCTGCACTGCTCTAAGATGAAAACCAGTGCTTCTCTTTCCTTTAGACAGTCAATGCAGGGTTCAAAGACTGTGGCCTTTGACAGTTGTGGCACACAGGCACAGCAGGGAGATGAAAACACAGATTCTATTAAAGACATGTATCTTCTTCTATATAAGAGAGGTCTTTTTTTTTTCCGTTGTCTCCTATATAATGTACAGTGGGGTCCAAATGTCTAAAACCACATTGAAAATCCGGTTAAATTTAATTTTTTCATCTAGAACACAAAGAGACACGTTTTAAAAAGTGAAAAGAAAGACAAGTCATGATGTAAAATGAATTAGAAACAAAGTTCTGCACTATTTCTGGGTCAACTGACAAGTCAAATGACTGCTGCAATATCAATAAAACAAATTTGTTGCATAACATTATTATTTTTATTAAAACAAATAGAACGAATTGACACTGAAATGCACTAGATTTCGAAAGAATATAAATCCTGATATAATCATCACCACCCCTCTTAGCACAGGATGTGCCCTAGTTTCACCGGCATCCATGTTTCTCTCCATGCACTGTTGTGTATTTATAATGCTAAATGATGGTCTAATGGGATCAGGAGCTGTGTTCTTTCACACGTACTCTCAAGGAGGCTGCTGTTGGGTTCTTGGGGTGAAATAAACTCTGTAAATATTTGCTTCAGCACATTTTTTGAAGATTTCTCTGTAATTAAAACACAAATTCACTGCAGATTAGATCAAACACTTTGGAGTAGACCTTAAAGTCAACATGAAATGCGGTTCACAACCCATTTTAATTGTGTAATCGGATGCATTTCCGAGTGAAACAGGATATTCACTGAGGAAGAAAAAAGTAATGCTGGTCTTGATTTTCTCCACTGGGAGTTGATTGGGTCTTGAGAGGTATTACATACTAGAAAGGAGACAGGTGGTTGGAGTGAAAGGTTAAGAAAGTGAGAGGTGTCTTTGACCAAACTCAAGCTCACAGTTCAAGATTGTTGAAGAATGACTTGTGAGTGTACGTAAATGAGCCATTGAAATCAATGTAGACAGGTAGCTTTCCAGGTATTATTGCTGCCTTGTTTTTTAATTCTTTAATTTTGTAAACAAGATCAATTTAGATTTCATGTTGATTTTAAAATGCGTGTGTGTTCATACAGCTTTGTATGCCTTCAAGCCACCTCATGCTAAATACCTTAGACAGATGTGGGCACGCATTGCATTTGGAGCTAGTGATTTTGGAGCTGTGAGTTTGACCTGCTGCTTTACAGAAGCCCTCAGGTCATCTTACAGCTAGTGAGAAAACTGATGCGGTTTCATGGCAAAATCTCTTGTCTTCTATCACATACTCCCACAGCTGCTGTCAGACAGAGTCGAGCAAAAGAGCTCCAGAATTTCAGACTGACTCACTAGATGCAATCCGTGTTTGCTTTCTTCACATTTAACACCGACACCTGGGGGGGGATATTGTTTGCATATATACACTATAAGGACAAACCTATTGTGACACATATCTTAATTACTGAATTCAGGTGTTTCAATCACACACAGTGCCGTAGGTGTATAAAATCAAGAACCTAGCCATGCAGTCTGCATTTAAAAAGAAGAAAAAGAAGGTAGTTCTGAAGAGCCCAGCACTGCATATGTTGGTTGTTGTCATTATCTGACACACCTGAATACACTTAGCAGTTAGCATTAGTGGAGAAGTGAACTGAGTAGAATATGTATGTATATAGTAGGGGTTGAACGACTTCTGATTTTTTTTAAAGTCGACTTTTATGTAATGAAAGTCGAGTCGAAGTCGACTAGTCACTGATGACGTCATTAATGA